GAATCTTGGAATTACAAGGCTTGAATGTAGTGCTAGAAGGCTGTGTAGCCCAGCTTTGGCTCCTTGTGAGAATAGCCTCTGCCATCTCCCTGCCAGCTTGGATGCCCCTGTGATGGGATGCTCACTGCCAAAATGACTTAAGACTTCCACTTGCTTTTACTTGTTAGAGACCCATGTACCCAGTGGGGTCAGAGGGCAGGGTCTATAACCCCACTGAAGAGGAACCAGCCCAGGTCACTGCTGGGTAGTCCCCGTGGCTCAAAAATCCCCTCCAACTCAGACCTGCCTCCCTCCCCTGGCTGCCTCATTGTGGATCTTGGCCCCTGCAGCCCTCACCCCAAGGCAGTCTTTCCCATCTGCTAGCCCGGTTCCCCTGGGGCAAGTTGTTTGTCCAGGCTCTCTCTTCTGAGCCTGGAACCTCTGGGGTGACATCTAGCACCCATCCTGCCAAGCACTAGTATTGGCAGAGAAGGGAGAGAAGAAGGGACAAGACAGCCAGGCGCATTGTATGCGGTGGGCTCCGTGATACGGACCCAGTGCAGCCCCCCAAGGCTGATGGCTTGCCCTGCAGCTCTCTCAGCACCCACAGGGAGAAGGTGGTCAGGTGGGGGATGCTGGGACCTCAGAGGCTCTTTCAAGCAATGCCAAAGGGCTGCTGGATGAATTGGTGCAGAGTGGCAGCTGACACCACTCCTGTCAGGGTACATATGTCCGCATTATGTCAAAATGAAACTATTCCCAAGGCAGCCCCCAGGAGAAGCTCTGTAAGTAGTGTCATTCAAAAAGGAAGAGTGACCCCTCTGCACACAGGACCCCCGTCTCAGGGCAGGGAACCTGGGCAGTGCCAACTCCAGACCCAGCCAGGCATGGGAGAGGCGGGGAGGCCGCGAGGCTCCAGTCCTCCAGATGTGCCGCCAGCATTCCGACGTGGAGACGGCCAGAATAGCAGCCAGGGGCCCAGATGGGCCGCGTTAACCTGGGAGAAGGCTCTTCAGAGCCCAGATGCTCTGTGTTTAGCCGGCTAGCCAGCTTTGGGCTCCAGATGTGGGCCTGGGGTGTGGGTGGGACATAGCTCCAGATGTGTGCAGTCAGAGCAGGAGTGTCTGCAGGGCTTAGCCGCACACTGGGCCCAGAGGCCAGGGCTTTGTGGGCTGGGCCAAGGGGCCTACCTACTCACACCCTCTCCAGCAGCCCCTATTCCCAGCGCCCAGGCCCCAGGGCCAAGAAGAGTTCAGGGTTCACCAAAAATCTGACTCAGGAGCAGCAAAGCTGAAGGGCTCATGCCTCATTGAACAAATAGGGATAGAGCTCTGGGACCTGCCCAGGGTCACACAGGCCAGGGACAGATCAAACCCCTAATGGGCGCAGAGAGTTTGAGGTCCTATAAACCACAAGCAGCTTCAAGGGGAGCATTTTGAGACCAGATGCCTGCCTCTCCCCACTCCACAGACTTTCTCAGCCCCACACAATTCGGCCACCTGGACATCCTTGGTCGAGCCATGGGAGGAGGGGCTGCCCTGACCTTCAAGGCAGGATTGGTGGGGTGGAGGACACAGTCCAGCCCCAGGAGAATCAGGAGGGATGTCGCCCTGCCCTGGGGACCCTGGTCCTCACCTCTCACTCCCCCAGACAGTGCCATTCCCCTCAGAAAGTAGAGGGCCAGGAGCCAGCTAGGCAGAGGACTGAGGCCAACCACTGACCCCCCAACCCTGGGCACTCAGCTACCAAGCTGAGGCGGTAAAAGAGGCACTCACAGTCACTGGGTACCTGCCGTATGCTGGGCCCTTGCAAGCCCCTTACCTGCCATATCAGTCCTGCGTAAGTCCTGTGAGGGGTATGGTGTCCCCATCTCATAGAACGGCAGCTCCCAGAGGAGCCAGTCCGTCTAACACTACCTACCAGGGGCACGGCAGGGCCAAGCAGAGCTGGAGGAGGGAACCTGCCCCTGGCCCAGGCTTGTTCTAGGACTTGGGACTCTGTGGGCTGGTGGCTGAATATGATGTGTGGGGGAAGTCTTTATAAGGGAACCCAGCAGAAGTGCCCTCCTTGGGCCTGGCCCTCCTCTCCTGCTATAGCACATGTGCCCTGCATGGTTGGACAGCTGAGAGAAGCCCGAAGACCCTGGAGTGAGCCCCAGGCAGGGTCCTGAGACTCTGCAGCAGCCCCTCCCCTGCCACCCAGGGGCCTCCAGCCAAGAGAAATGGAAATTTCCCAGCAACCCCCTCCTCGGTGTCAGGAACCCATCCCCCTGCCCACTCTCTGAGGGCAAAGGGCAGGCCCTCGGGAAAGGCCCTCATCCTCCAAGCTGCAGTCCCCTGTCTACACAGTGGCCCCAGCTCCGGACTTGGAGCCAGGAGAGCATGGGACCACAGTGAGCAGAGGGCGGAGGTCAGGTTGGGGCAGCTGACCTAGGGAGGCCCAGGCTAGAAGAGGCTTCTGGATGGATAGTGCCCCTGAGCCCCAACTGAGGGGAGGGGAAGCCAGCACAGCTACCCCCAGGAGCTGGTGGGCATCCGGCAGGCACCTCCTAACCCTGCCCTCACAAAGTAGCCCAGGAGGGACAGCAGGACTGGGATAGCCTGGCCTGGGTGGGGAGGCCAGCTGGGGGAGCCAACTGAGGCAGAAAGTACTACTAGGTTATATCAGGCAAGTGCTCTGGGGAGGGGGCCACGCCTCTCTGCTCTGGCAGCCCCACCTGGGGCCCACACCCAAGAGCTGGGGCCTGGAGAGAGATGCTGGCAAGGTTCTGAGTGCAATGTGAGGGCCAGTGGGGGGGCCGCTGGGCCCCAAGCAGGAGAGCTTCATCTAGCCATGGTGGTCAGGAAGGCAGGGCAGGGAAGAGCCCCAACCCTGTGTCAGGCCTGAGTTGGGTGATAAACAGATACCCTCATGGGCTGCGGGGTCTTACAGGGACGAAACCTGCATGTGGCTCGGTCTGGTGGGGTGCAGAGCCCCAAGGATTACCCTCGAGCCTCTTGTCTCCTTGCTTCCTCCTCTGCCCAGACCCCAACACAAAGCCCCAGGATCCCATCCTGAGTCAGGCAACCCTGATTTCTCACCCTGGATTCTCAAGGCCCTGCCTGAGGTCTGCTTGGTACTCTCCAATCCTGCAAGCTGTACCTTGACAGCCCCTAACGCTACTGTATCCTGGGCTTGGGATGAGGTCAGGAGCCAGGGGACAGAAAACGACCCCTCTCCCAGGGCTGTGGGCTCAGTGCATGAACAGGAGCTTGAGGAAGTAGGGGGTTCTCAGTACAAGGGCAAGCAGTGGAAGGCCAGGGCCGCAGGCCTCGGTGAGGAGGGGGCCCCTCACAGCCGTGGCAGGACAGCCAGGCCCTGTGTGTCTTGGCCGAGTGGGACCCCTGGGCAGCCAGGTATGTAACAATTCCAGCCATTTCCTGCCCTACTAATGAGAAAGGGGCTGATATAAATACACGCTCAGCATAAATAAATACAGGCCAGGCCCGGGACTGCATAGCAGACAGATTGCGTGGAATTGCTGGCCAGCCCTGCAGCCAGTTCCCCCCACCCTACCCACAGGCCCCCCACCATCCCCTACTTGTTTTCCTCCAGCAAGCCAGGGCCCCTCCACACTCACAGGCCTGAGACAATGGACTGACTGCCCTCAAGCTTGGCCTTAGAACAGGGTCCCCCCTAACCCCATGGAAGGTGGCAGGCCTGAGGGAGGGAGCAGGGTTCCCACCTGACCCACAGACCCAGCGACAGACCTGGGAGATCTTAGGTGCTATGACTGTACCTGTTCACAAGTTGGGAACTGAGGCTCACGGGGTTAAGGGACTTGCCCAAGGTCACACAGCCAGGAGGTTGTGGATCCAGGATTCAAACCTCAGGCTTTCTGACTCCAAGGCCTCTGATCAGCCCCGTGTGTGAGGCACAGCTAAACGCAGATACTGGCTCCCCTCTCTTCCTCCCAAGCCCTAGCCCCAGGATCCAGGGCCCTCAGAAGGCCGCAGAGGATTTATGTTCAGGGCCTGGAAGCACAAGCCTCATGGAGCCTGATCTCAGCTCCTCTCCAGCTGGAGACTGCCTCCAGCTGGAGCGCCCAGATATTGAGGTCCCTCACTATCTCATCAGTGATCACATGGTCACCCTACATTGCATAGACATGGAAACTAAGGCCCAGAAGGCACAGAGCCTCATCTAAGGTCCTGGGGAAAGGCAGGGCAGAGCCACGCAACTCCAGCATCTGTGCCCAGCCCTTGGGCCTTGAGCCTTGGGCTCTGACTGGGAGGGCTGTCTCAGCCTGGACACTTCCCAGGGCAAACTCAGATGTCAGTCTGTGTCCCAGAACCCAGCTTGCCCTGGGCACAGATTAGCAATAGCAGCTGGGGAAACCCAGGCCCAAAGAGGGTAGGAGCCTGACCAAGCTCATACAGCCAGGGGCAGATCTGGGGCCAGGACCCAGGATCTTTCCCTCTGGCTGTAGAGCATTCCTGATGTCCAGGCCCCATTCAAATGCCCCCTACCCTAGGCTGCCTTCCCAGCCACTCCAGGCCCAAGGAATGGCTCCCAACTGGCCCCAGCCCTCCTCTGCCTTCAAGCCTTTGAGGTCTTCTAGCACCAATGTGTCTTGAAAGCAAGCAATTAGGCCATGTATGGACACACTCCTCCCACTGTAAGGAAAATGGGGGCTACGCCTTCACAAGCTGCAATTGCTTCTCCACCAGCAGCCAAAGATTTGAAAGCCAACTGTTCAAGGGGGTGAGTTGGGCAGGTGGGCATGCTGAGGGCAGCAGGATCCTAAGCCCTGGCTGGCCTCCTGGCTCTACTCCACCCCTCAGGTCCAGGGTCCAGGCTAAGCCCTCTCCTTCTGGCAGCCTGGGCTAGTAATCTCTTTGCCCCCAGCTCCCACCCAAGCCCTGGTCTCTTCCACTCAAGCCATGAGGTCTCAGTCCCAGGACCCGAGGGATGTGGCAGAAGGGGTGAGAGCATAGCATGCCCAGGGTCAGAGAGGATCTCCTTCGGGCAGGGGCCATCACCCAACCCTCCACCCACTCCCCAGGCAGTTCCTCCAGGCCCACCTTCCCATGCTTCAGCGCTGCACTGAGGGAAACAGAGCCATCGGAAGCTAACCAGGAAGGCCTCGATACAGCCATCAGAAAGGACAAGCCATCCACGTGGACTGACTTGGAAATGGGTGGGTGGCATGTTGTCAAATGGATAAAGCAGTTTGTCTACTGATATATCTAGTGTGACGGGATCTCCATCAGCATGCTCTGTGTGTGCATTACGGGAGTGTGCACGTGGGTTTGCACAGATGCAAAGAATCATGACTGCAAAGAATCATGACCCTGTTTCTCTCAAGTTTAGAACCAAAGAAGAAGGAAACATTTCTACTTTAACATCTCGGTGTTTTTCCTGATTTTTAAAAAAATGTAATGGAAACAATACCAGTCTCATGGTCCAGGGCTGTGAACCTCTCGGCTAACCCGGGCTCCAGCCTGTCCCCCAGCTCCTGCCCTCCCTCCCCGTGCAGGTACTTGCCACCTCTCTTCCTCTCCCCTTGGCATTTGTGGCCCTGCTCCACCTGCCTCTCCCTCCCAGCACCCCAGGCCCCACAGGCTTCAGCCTGGTCAAGCACCAGCTTGGGATCTGCAGCTCAAGGACCATCCGGCCCTATATGCCTGCCCTGGGGCCTCCCCGCCTTCCCCCTTCCCCACCCTCGGCTGTGGACCAACTTCACACTTCTGCGCTCAGCTTTCCCTATGAGGTGGGTATATGCTCCGGAACCCCAGTCCTGTTTCCCCTTCACAGGGCCTTGGAAGGCCCTTCCAGGCAGGGTTTTGCCTCACTGGCCTGATGGGAACTCTTCAGATGTCTCCACAAGAGGCGGGCCAGGCCTGCTCCTCAGACTTGGAGAGAGAACCTGGAAGTTCACCCCACACCCACCCTGGGCCATCTGCAGGTCCATACGGCATGCAGGGCAGGCAGAGCACACAGGGCACACAGGGCACACAGGGCACGCAGGGCAGGAATCCAGCCCTAACTTCCCTGGCAACCAGGACAAAGGAGAAAGCAGGGCCGAGCTCTCTGGGAAGTCTTCCCACACTCACACTACCCTCGGACCTGGGCTGAGCAAGACATGATTCCTAACCCCCAAGAAAGCACCCCTTCCCCGCCTCTCACAGAATCACTCACCTTAAGGTGGGGTCTAGGAGATCTGTGCAGCGCAGCCTGAGCTTGCATGGCTTCATCAGCCACTCCCTCCGTGAGCCTGAGCAGCTGGGGTGTGTGCTGAGGTGCTGGGTGTTTCCCTCTCCCTGGAGGAGGTGGAAGGACAGGTGGATCTGTGGATGGATTTGTGGGTGCAGGGTGGATGGGTAAGTGGGTGGGTGGATTGATGGATGGATGGATGGATGGGTGGGTAGGTGGGTGGGCAGATGGACAGGGGGGAAGTGAGTGACAAAGTGGATAAATAAACCGGCTCAGGAGTATCTCACAATTTTTAAATGTCTGAAATGTGAGGCCCTGGCACCCCCCAGAGGCCAGAGTCTCTAACTACCCACCTCTCCCAAATCCCTGGGCACCGACAGCCCTGAGAAACAGGAGCAAGGATCTAGAAGTGCAAGTTAGGGGTTCTAGGAAATAAAAAATCTGGGGTTCAAATGCTGGCTTACCCTGTGACCTTGGGAATATTCAAGCTTCTGAAGCTCAATTTTCTTTCTCAGCTGGAAAACAGTTCTAATCAAACCTGTTGCCTGTGTTGCTATGAGATTTAAACAAAATCACGTGTAAGCGTCTGAGATGGTTATCTGGCAAGTAGCAGGTGCTCACATAACATGATTTCCTGCCCAGGAGCAGCCCTAGGGCACACACGCCCACACACACATCCTCCCACCCAGTAGGAAAGAGGAATGAAGAGTGAGACTCCAGGCCAGACCAGACCAGAAAAGGCGATGGGGACACATTTATTCCCCAGGGGTTCCGTGCTCTGGCAGGACTGGCCCAGCCTCTGGGAACTGGGACAAGGGCCTTGAGGCCTCTGGAGCTCAGCCTCCTGGGTCTGGACCAGCTGGGCCGTGGGCTCAAAGGCAGCCTGCAGCAGGTGGGAGGCAAGGCAGGTGGGCCAGGTGACGAGATAGGCCAGGTGACAGGAGATGAGCACTGTCATGCTCTCCACCCTCCAGTACAGATGCTTCAGCTGTGCCAGCGGCTCCAGCACCACACGGTTCTCCAGCAGGGCCCGAAGGGGGCAAGTGGCCAGGCAGGTGGCCACCAGGAGCTCACATAGCCACACTGCCTGGCTGCTGGCCCCCTGACCACTGAGCCAGAGCTCAGGCCCAGCCCGTGCCACTTGCCCACCTTGCTGGGCAGCCAGCCAGAGCCACAGTGGTGGGCCTTCCAGCACAGCCTCCAGATCATCAGCAGCAACAGCAAGACCAGCAGTATCAGGCTGTGCAGACATGACAGAAGCAGGTCCTTCCAGGTGGCCAGAGACAGGCCCAGACACTCCCAGGCACCTAGCCACTGTGGGGCCTGGCACAAGGCCTGGGCACAGCCCAGTGTGCCCACCCACAGCAGCCTGGGCACCTGCAACGCCAGCCCAGCCTGCAGCACCTGGCCCAGGGGCAGGCCATCAGCCCTGGGGTGGGGGGTGGGCCTGCTGGGCCACCCAGACAGCCAGTGGTTGAAGAGGATGATCTTGAGGAGCAGGAAATTGTAGAGGTAGGCCCAGTTCTGGACCGGCTGCAGGAGGAGGGAGAGACAGTGATCACCCATCACACTCACTTGGGGTGGAGGGGGGATCCCTACCTGTCCCATGTCTTATTGCAGGAAGGACACCCCCAGGGTTGGAGGGCAGCTGGCCCTCCTCCTCTTAAGGCCTGTTTCCACCCAACAAAGATGATCTTTATCTGTCCACTTCTAAGGGCTTCATTCTCAGGAGAGAGCTTCAGAAGGTATTTTATATTAAGTTTGGTTTTGTTTCCTTTGAATGTCAATGACTGTTTATAATACTCCAGACTGAAAGAGATTTATGTATTATTATTATTATAATTATCTCTATTACTATTGTATAAGGGTGACCACCCCCTCGGCCCTCTAATCCTGCAGGATATGAATCCAGGTCAGTTTCTCTCCCAAACACCAGGGCTTTCCTGCACATCAGTTGCCTGTTGGTGTCATGAGGGCAGCTGGGGGCAAAGGGTGGTGCCATTAGAGGTAGAGGATGTGAGGCATGGGGGCAGGCCCAGAACTCATGACTGACCTCCTGAGGGGTGAAGGGAAGGGAGGGATTTGAGAGTTCCATATTCCTGGGTGACAGGGTGGATACGCTGTCTCCCATCCTCTGGGAGAAAGAGTAGGGTCGGATGGGGAAGGAGTCTGAAAACAAGAAACTTTGGAGCTGAAAGGCCCCCTCATCAGAGCTCTAAAGCCCCCAGCCCCTGAGTAACACCAAGCCACCTATCTGGACCCCATGCACCCCTGCCCACAGGACCACCTGGAGCCTGAAGGGATGGTGTGGGAGGCTGCAGTCTGGGGTTGGCTGGGAGCCCCACCTGGGCAGGAGCAGCAGAGCCAAGGGGGAGCAGTGTAGGAAACAGGAACTGCCCCCAGCTGAAAATGTGGGGACCAGGGAGGAGAGAAACCTAGTCTGCCCACATGATCCCGGAAGATGGGTGATAAGAAAAGAAACAGAAGCTCAGAAAGGGCGACTCATTTGCCCCAAGTCCTACAGCTAAAGAGCGGAGCAGCCAAGATTCAAACCCAGGTGTCTGTCTCTTTCTATTGCACTGTATAATCTCCCCCTCCTACGCCACAGAAGCACGCCCAGGGCAGCCTTTCCTGAGAACTCAGCCCACAGAGGAGTTGTGATTTGGTAACATGGCCCCAATTGTCAGCATTTGCATAATTTTAAAAGACGGATGGGAAGGGCAGTGCTTAACCCACAGGAGTGACCCTTCACAGAGAAAATTCTGGCACTGTAGCTTGGAGGTGGGGCCTCTGTTGTCAGATCATGGCTGGGGGGTGGGGGCAGGCAGTCACCTCGTTCCACCAGCTGGGACAGATTGGCAGAGTCCAGCAGTTCTGAGGTGGCTGTGAAGGGCCAGGTATGTGGCTCCCACCTGCTGCCCCTATGCCCCCCGCTCCCACACTCACCAGTACTGACAGCCTCACCACCACCAGCAGAACCCCCAAGAAGCCGGGTCTGATGGAAGAGACAGCCTCCATGTCTGGTTCCAGCTCTCCTCCAGGTGGGGGAGGCAGAGCGATCTCACAGATACCTCAGGGTGGGGCCCAGGTCACTGTGGGGACCCAATTGCCACAAGAGACCCTCTTTTACTTGCCTCCTGCCCCTTCAGTGCACAAAAACTAGGGCATTGTCTTCTACATCGCTCCCCCACCTGGCTGAGACTGCTCCTAGGGACAGCAACTCGGCAGATGTCCAGCCTGCCCAGCACAAGCTCCAGAGCAAGTGCTCAGGCTGCTGGCCCTCGGGCCAGAGCGGTCAAGGCGTAGGGAAACTGAGGCTGAAGGTAGGCCAGTGCTGTACCTTCCCATATCCTTCCAAATTCCAAACAATCAGAGGCCTGGGAAATAGAAAGCTTTACCCCCAGTGTGACAATCTGGAGCAGATGGAAGCCTCAGCTGTCCAAACCTGAAGGCCCTACCTACGCCCCCTGCCCCACCCAGTCACAATGCAGAGAAATGAGATAGTGACCTTTATCCTCACATCTCAGTGACACCTCAGTGGGTTCTGAGACTAGGCTAGAGAAGATGGGGAGAAAATGTGCTGACTTAACAGTCTCAGAGTGTCCAAGAGAGGGGCAGGTACTGAGGGAAAGGGGACAATTTGCTGAGCTAGCCTTGAGAGGCCACGGAAGGCCACCAGGAGGCCACAGCCTGCCTAGAGCATCTCAGAGAGGTTGCCAGAGCCTTGCATTCAGATCAAAAGCTTAGAATTCTGGGAAAATCCTGAACCATGAACCTAGCATTTCTCAACATTGCTTTCCCGTCTGGGCCAGCAGGTGGCCCCAGGAAGCTGCAGGACAAGCCTCTCTTGCCTTTTAGAAATTTTTAAAAGCACACCCTCTGGTGGATGGGCCCCTATGAGCGCATGGCTCAGTGAGGAGAGGGTCGCTCTGTGCACTTTGAAAGGGTGGGTGCCACCCCCAGGCTCGCACACACAGCATGATCTCAGTCCTCCCTTGCTATCTCAGCCAGGCACCTTTGTGCAGGATACAACCTGCCCAACTGGACATGGCAACCTGCTATAATGAGTCCCTGGAATGTCCACAATGACTTTTGCCCAGGGCAGTCCTGTTCACTCATTCATTTCCTCCCCTGGGGTAACAGCTGGGATCTGGAGGGTGGAGCGTGCAAAGTCCCTCCATTCTGTCCTCTGTCCTTGGTCTGCCCCACCCACCCTCTATGTCTCCAACACAATGGCACTGAGGTGTCACTGGGGCTTCAGAAACCCTCTTTGAGCTGAGTTTTGAAGGATAGGTAGTTTTCCAGAGAAGAAAGTGTGAAGTAGTCCATGCAGAAGGAACAGCATGGTTCAAACAATTCATTATTACTAGAGCATAAAGGGGGACGTGGGGAAGAACACGAGATCAGCAAGGGCCACGTGGACTATAGGATAGTCCATTAAACAGTAGGCACCATTGAAGAGCCAAGGCAGCGGCACCTGAAAATAGCTGTGGGTTAGAACAGCCCCTCCAGCTGCATGATGAGGCTGGGCTAGGGGAGAGGAGGAGTCCAGAGTGGGGAGGGAGGTCAGATAGGAACCCACAGAAATAAACTCTCCAATCATGAGATGATGGGATCCTGGGGCCATGGCTCCAGGAATGGAGAAAAGTGGGTGGATGCCAGAAATGTGTGGAAGGTGGAACTGACAGGGTTGGGGGCTATCCAGAATGGCAAAAGGTCCCAGATTGTACCTGACTTGCAAGCTAACCAGGCAGCCTGAGTTCCTTGGATACTGGTAGAAGCACAGGATTCCTAGGTCAGAGATGAAAGACACATTTTTACTGGAGACACTAGCAGTAAACTAGAGTATAACTATTTAGTTCTTTGGCTCCCTGAGTTCCAAACCCCACAGAGTGATGTAAACAGGGCCAGATGACACCTGTATACCCAGTGGACATATTACAGAAAAGAAATCCTGAGTTTATGGAACCAAATCTTTGTAACGGGCAGTAGGCAAGCCTGCCCTTTCCTCCTGAGAGAGACATTATCTTTATCACACTGCAGCTTGCAGGGAGACATTATCTATTCCAAGGTTGTTCTATATACAAACATCCTTTTCTCCTCCCCTCTTTGGCTCACCCCTGACCATCACTCAGCCTTGCCATTCCCAGAATTCTGCTGTCGTTAAGGCTGTGTGGATGGTTCTCAACCTCATATTGACCAAACTCCCTGGACTATGGGGTCTGTCTGGGCAGGAGCTGGAGTCACAGAGACTTCTCTCCACCCCACTTTCTCCAGGGTGGCCCCTCAGGGTACCTCTCAGGTCCTGTTAGGATGCTGGGCCCAGTTTCAGCCTCAGCTCGTCAGCTGTCCCCAACCCCTGCCAGAGCCCTCATCTCGGTCCCACACTTAGATTTCAGCAAGGCAGGGACACAGAAGGGCCCACAGGCTGGAAATCAGTGACAGAGGTAAGAGGCCTCCCCTAGAGTGTGAAACCAAGTCAGGGCCTCTCCCTAACGTAGCCCCAGCCATGCCAACACCAGCCAGGAACCCCACAGTCACCCTGTCACCTTCAGTCATCGCCTTCATGCCCAGGTACCTCTGAGGGCCAAGATCATGAATCTTGTTCCCTTCTGTGACCCATGCTTACCATAGAGCCAGCTGTGCAGCAGGAGCTCCGTAAGTACTGGTAGAATTAATAAATGAATGAACGAGTAACGACTCGGCGCTCCCTATCTGCCAGGCTGCACACAAGGGCTCCAGTAGCTGCTGCCGAAGGAGTCCCCAGCTTGTATCCTCATGCGGGGTGCCCTCCACGCCCTTCTCTTTCCAACTCAACACCTAAGTTCAAGGACATCCGTGCACTGCTGTGCTGTGTGGCCTCAGGCAGTACCTCCCCTCCGTGGCCCTGTCCTAACAACAGGGAGGACCAGGTGGAGTAACCCAACTCACTAGGGGCGGTTGCCTTGCCCGACGCCAGGGGCGCCATTCCCCCTTTCCTGCCCTGCTCTGCGTAGACTCCCCACCACAGCGGAAGACTTAGGGCGGAGGAGATGCAGCAAGCCAGCCTCCGACTTCCTAAGGCTCTCAGGTGTGCGCCCCTGTGGGTGAAGGATCGCACCGGGGCCACGGGACCCCGCGCGCCTGAGCGCGCAGTGCAAATTGGTGGAAAGTTTTCGGTTGCTTATTTTGTCCCTTCTCAGTCCGCGAGGCCGGTTTCCCCGTAACAACGACCTTGCATTCATTCTGAGGAGTTCCTTCAGAGCAGATCCCGTCCTGCCTGGGTTGCTGGAGGCGAAACTACCAAGAAATGACCAGGACCGATATTCTCCCTTCCTTCTTTCCTGTTCCAATGTTAAAACTTTATTTTGTTTCAAATCTTCATTTTTCCCAGAAGTACACAAAAATGATAAATACGCCTTCACACTGGATCTTGTCTTGTTTTTTTTCTAAAGATGGATTTTTGCACTAAAATGCAAAAATAATCATTTAAAACTGTTGAAATCATGAGGGACCTATGCTGGTTAAGGGAAAGGGTTTTGGTGTCTAAGGGAAAGGGTTTTTGGAGTCGGACAGACTTGGGTATGAAGTGAACTCTGGTGCTTAATTACAAGTCTATGTTCCCATCCCAAGGTTCTTTATAAAACTGTGACATACTTTGTGGAACCTGCCAGGAGAACTCGTGCAGAGGAGACAATGAAATAGGGTCTGTGAAGTGCTTTGAGCACTATTTGGCCCCACACCAAGGCTTGGGAGCTGGTGGGTAAGTGAAGTCAGCATCTCTGGATGAAAAGGAACTCAAGAATTTTTCAAAACAAGCTAAGCTACAAGTTGGACAAAATTGCTTCAAAATACGTGCAACTTGTAAAAAGAATCACCCCCGGGTGCACAAATTTTATTACCTCATAAACCAATATGTAGAAATATTCATTTCAACCGAGCCACTTTCAGGCAATCCACCTACAACCTAAGACTAGATTTTGAAAATCAAAAAACAAAAACAAAAACATGGCAAAATATAAAGAAGGGTCATTGCTACCTTACAATTAATCCAGAAGTTTTTTTAACAAAAATGCATAAATGCTAGCAACTTATGTTAGGTTGCAAAGTCACACCTGTGAGGTACAAAAATCGTCAACATAAGAAACAAACAGCAATGGGAAATAAAATTTTCACCAGTTCACTTACTGATCAGTTTGTTCAGAATCAATGTGTTCAACGCACTTGTTTCCTTCCATCTCACCCAGACCTCTCTGAGAAACTCTCCCACCCTCCGCACCCCCACCTATCCTCAACTACACTCTCTAGCTACTTGCTTTTTTCTCTACCAGGTCTCCATGTCTTAGAGAAAGTATTCCTCTGTCCATCAAAGGACCTTTAAGTTGTTTCCATATCTTGACTATTATCAATCAATAAGGCTGCAGTGAACATGGGGGTGCAGATACCTCTTCACCATCCTGATTTCAATTCCTTTGGATCTATACCCAGAAGCAGGATTGCTGGATCATAAGGCAGTCCTAATTTTAATTTTTTGAGGAGTCTCCATGCTGTTTTTCATAATGCCTTACTCATTTACATTCCCACTTGTGAGATAAATAGACAGCCACAAGGGACTATTATTCAGTTTTTTAAAAGAAAAAGTCCTGACAACATGGATGGAGCCACAAGATATGCTAAGTGAAATAAGCAAAACATGGAAAGAGAGACACTGCACAGTCTCACTTGTATGCCTCACTTGTATCCAAAAAAAGCTAAACTCATAGAAACAGGGAGAAGAATGTTGTTGCCAGAGGCTGGGGATGGGGGGGGAAGGAGACTGGCCAAAGGGCACAAAGTTCCATTTTCAATATGAGTATGTTCTAGAGAACTAATGTATAACATGGTGGCATCATTACCTATACTGTTTATATGCTTGAACTTTGCTAAGAAGATCTGAGAGCATCTCAACACACACACGGATTAACTATACAGAAGAGATAGATATGCTAATTAGCTGCACTGTGGCGATCACTTCATGGTCTACATTCAACACATCCAGT